AGGGCACGGGGGGCACTGGGGGGGACTGGGAGTGAACTGGGATTGAACTGGGGGCACTGGGGGTCACTGGGAGTGAACCGGGGGCACTGGGAATGAACTGGCAGCGTGCTGGGAGCACTGGGCTGTACTGGGAGCACTGGGATCCCCTGGGCAAGCCCAAACCCTGCAGGGGGTTCCGAGGGGGTCCCGGGGATGTTTTGGGGTCCCAGGGGGTCCCGGGGATGTTTTGGGGTCCCAGGGATGTTTTGGGGTCCCAGGGGTGTCCCAGGGATGTTTTGGGGTCCCAGGGGGGTCCCAGGGATGTTTTGGGGTCCCAGGGGGGTCCCGGGGATGTTCTGGGGTCCCAGGGGGGTCCCAGGGATGTTTTGGGGTCCCAGGGGGTCCCTGACCGTTCCCTCTGTCCCAGAGGCTCTCGGGCCGCGCTCGGGGGGCGCTCGGGGGGAGTTCCCCCAGGGGGGCCGGGGGACGCTGAGGCTGCGCTCGAGGGGCCCGGCCACGCTGCAGGAGCAGGTACCACCCCAAACCCAGCCCTGGGACCCCAAAATTCCCCCCAGATCTCCCGGGGACTCCTTAAAATGTGCCGGGACCTTCGGGGACCCTCGGGACCTCCCATAATCCCCCCCAGGAACCCCAAAGTCCCCGAGGACCTCCCAGATATCCCCAAAATGTCCCCAAATCCACCTGGGCACCACCCGAAATCCCCTGGAGACACCCCAAAGTCCACCCAGGATCCCCTCCCCCATCCCCTCGGGGATCCCCCCAAATCCCCCCGGGGTCCTTGGGGACCCCCCAAATCCCCCGAATCCCCCCAGCCCTCGGCCTTCGAGGAGCGCGCGGTGGCCAAGGTGGACGATCTGCTGGAGAGCTACATGGGCATCCGGGACAGCGAGCTGGGTGAGCCGGGACCCCCAAACGCAATCCTGGGGAGCCCCCCAAGTCCTGGGGAGCCCCCAAATCCTGGGGAACCCCCAAATCCTGGGGAGCCCCCCAAGTCCTGGGGAACCCCCAAATCCTGGGGAACCCCCAAGTCCTGGGGAGCCCCCCAAGTCCTGGGGAACCCCCAAACTCCCAGGGATCCCCCAAACCCTCCCGACAGCCCCGATGTCCCCGAGCCCCCAGAGTTCCCGGCTCTGCTGCAGTCAGGGGCCGTTGGGGACACGGAATTTGGGGACCCCCTGACCGTGCTGTCCCCGCAGCGGCCACCATGGTGGAGCTGGGCCGCGACGCGCGGGACCCGGACGCGCTGGCCGAGGCTCTGGACGCACAGCTCGGGGACTTCGCCTTCCCCGACGAGTTCGTCTTCGACGTCTGGGGCGCCATCGGGGACGCCAAGGCCGGGCGCTGCTGAGCCCCGCTGGGGACCCCCCCAGGGATTGGGGACCCCCCCAGGGATTGGGGAACCCCCCTGAACTGGGACCCCCCCACTGCAATCCCCGTGATTGGGGAACCCCCCCAAAAGCTGGACCCACTCCCCCAAAATCTGCTGGACCCCCAAAGTGCCCTGAGAGCCCCCCCTGAGGAGCCCCCCGGGACCTGGGTGCCCCCAATTCCGGACCCCCCCAAATTCCCTGTACCCCCCCTCGGGACCTGGGTCCCCCCCAAACTCCAGACCCCCAAATCTGTTGTTCCCTCTCCCCCCTCAAAACACTCCTGGACCCCCCCATGGTGACATCGATGTCCCCAACAGGGACAGGGGTGTCCCCCCCGCCCCCAAGGGGCTTTTTTGGGTGGGGGGGCCCCCTCCCCCCCAAGTGCCCCCCGATGGCAATCTGAGCCTGTCACCCCCCCAGCACACGCTGTCACATCCTGTCACACACTGTCACCCCCCCGTGTCACCCCCCGTGTCCCCCCCGCACTGACCGCCTTGGGGGGGACCCTGCCCCGTCCCTGTCCCCATCCCCGGGGGGCTCCTGGGGCTCCCCCCACCCCCCCGGGATATTTTTGTATTTTAGTGGAAACGATTTCAGCATAAAAACCGGAGAAATGGGAGCGGCTGCGGATGTGGGGGGGGAGAGCATTTACACACCCCTTACACACCCGTTACACAGCCGTTACACACCCCTTACACACCCCTTACACAGCCGTTACACACCCGATACACACCCCTTACACACCCCTTACACACCCCTTACACACCCGATACACACCCCTTACAC